ATTTCTTCTGTTTTTGTTCAGTGTAAACAGTTCCTGCCGTAGAAACATAGACAAATATAGCAGAGAATGCTTTTCTGGAAGAAGAATGCTCCCTAAGCATTTTTTAACCATTTTTGGGAAGAATTGATCTTTGTGTGTATTTCAGACAGACTGAAAGAGAGGGAGGGGCCGTTGCTGTAAATTGAAGTGACATCATAAGTATTGCCCCCATTGATCTGCTTTTAGTCTCCAGCCAGGATAAAAGGAAATGGCACCAGGGAGGAAGCATGCTTCATTTAGGCACAGATCCCAGAGTGATAATGGGGTAATAATAGAACTCACGCCACCGTCCGTCGGAGGCTGCATTAGTCTCAGGCTCCTTCCTTGTCTGGGAGCCGCTCAGAGACTTCCTTCGCTGCTGCAGCGCGCCAGCTGGGCCTGGAGGGAGGTGCCCTTCTGTGCGCTTGGAGGGGTGTGGACAGTGGGGCTCAGATGTTGTTGTGCACCCAGTTCCTTGTGTCGGGACCTGCCTGCACAAGGTCAGTGGTGAGATGGGTTGGTGACATTTTCTATAGGAATCGAGCTGGCCTTTTCGGATCCAGTCGCATGGGTGGTCCTGGGAGCAGGAGTGAGTGGCATCCCCTGACAGACAGCAGGAAGAGGCTCTGCGAGAGTCGGGGTGTGCTTTCTTCTGCTGCTTGTGACCTGGGAGGGTGGGCTTGGAAAATTCCTATTTTCTTTCCAAGAGTCTGTAGAAACTGTAAAAGACATTCAGAGTTGTGTGGCTTGCCTCGGTTCTTACGTTGACTGGGAAAAATACCAGGTAGACTTTTCTTTTGCTTTGTAATTTCTGGGTAGTTAGCAACTATGGACTCCTCCACCTTCAGTGCAAGAGTACAGACCACTGAATCCTTACAAATGGCATTTGCTTTGCCTGACTCCCTTAGTATTTTGGTTTTTTTGTATTTGAATGTGCTTTACAGTGATGTGGAATTCTCTATTTCAAGTACCCACATGACTTTGGCACCTCATAGCCTTATTTTGTCTAAGTGTTGAGGCAGATGCATTTTAAAAATACCAAACTGGTTTCCATGTGGAAAAAATAATAACTCCTTGTCTGTGCAAAGGAAAGGACTTTCTATTCCTGTCACTGTCGAACTGTGGCTGTGAGCACTATTAGGCCCTCAGAAATAAAGGCAAGTTCTTTTTTATAATGTTTGACGGAGCTGCTTTCTAATGAGACAATGCTCTGAACCATGCGCTGTATTTTTCTTGATCATTCCGTACTGTGACTAAAGCCATGTTCGTCTCTCGGAACTGCTGCACTAAACACAGTGGGCCTAGAAGTCACGTGACATTTGATTTGATTTCTGTGTTGGAGGAGGGGAGCGACCCGCACACATTTCCCGTTCCCACCGCACCATGCGAGCACATTGGAAGTGCATCTCTCTCAGTTGCTTTGCAAACTTTTGGTTTATTACATAGTATTTTTTTTTTCATCATGTGGAGTAAATGATTATTTTACAAAGAGAAATGTTCTCTATTAAAATGAGCTACTTACCACATTTTTGCTTTAATATCCTCTTCTAAGGTCTGTAATCTGTAAAAATTGTGTAATGTTTACTTGCTCATTTGTGAATGAAGGATACTTAATTAGTTTTACTGTCTGAACTAAAATATTTGATCACTGATTTTTCTCCAGTTTTCTCATTGCTTAGAAATTACGTTTTTCCTTGGTGAATTAGAAGAGTTAGAGTTGAAAGGCAGGTGACTACAGGTTGTTAACTGAGTGAGACTCACTTACACAAGCCCATGCTGGAGTGGGCCAGGCAACCCCGGGGCATTACGGTTATGGAGGGGGGCCCGTTCTCACGCTTGCGTGGGGTCCTGTGCCTTCTTCCACCTCTGAACAGGCCGGCTCTTGCCACAGAGCAGTCCACGGCGCCGCTGTGCCCAGGAGGGCTACCTGGCGCGCTGTGTGCGTGCCTGCTCTTTACCTCTCTAATTAGAGCAAATTAAACTTATTAAAAACCTCCTCCGTTCCATCTCAACGGTTTATCTTTAGTCAGGGGCTTAGCTTTAAGTATTTCCCATTGTGTAAAATCAGGAGAGGGCAAACACGTTCAGGGATCCTTTTGTTCGGTCTCTGTGTGCAGCTGCACGGACTTCTGCTTAGAGAGAGGTCGAAAGACACATAAAAGGGAGACCCCAGATGTTTCCATGGGTTCGCATAGCAGTGATTCTTCCGTTTTAAACGGGAATTGCGTTTATTGATTAAACCAGTTAGGTTAAGTCGGGGACTGAGCTCCTCTTCCTCAGGGGCTCCTTTCCTCCGTGGGTCTCTCGTTTACCCCAAGTCCCAAGCGCGAGTTCTAACAATAGGCCTCTTTGTAAGTGTGGACACAGAATAGGGGCATGCTTTTCTTTCTACTCTGTCTTCCCTGTAATTCTGCAAATTGACCAAGCTGGTTCCTGCTGTATTTAGTTAGTGAACCAGACCCCACCCTCAACTGCTGGGTGTTCTGCCCTTTCCCAGAACCCATCTTCTGTACCCAGTGGGCCTCAGCATTTGAGCTGTTGCTACCCTGGGCTTGGCTGCACCCGTTTTGAGAATGCCTGTGGGGGCGCAGGGCTAGGTGGCCACTCTGACCCAGTCTGGGGCCCTGTCCTCCCCTCCCCTCTCCACCAGCTATTGAGGCGGGGGCGGGGGGGGCCTGCTGCTCCAGGGGTGCCCAGGCCAGGCCACCGCGGGGTGGCGGGTTATGTGGACCATACTTGGGAAAGGGATGAGTGGGGCAGGAAAAGACTTTAATGGGGGGTAAAGGGCAGGCTCTGTGAAGAGGCTGGAGGACAGCCGGGGAGTGACCTGAAGGCGGTGCTCAGGGCCAGGCTGGATGAACTCCCCCCTCAACCCCCAGGACCTCAGGGAAGGAAGATTCAGAGAGGGAGGCTGCAGGGCAAGACAGATAGGAAGGAGGGCCAGGCAACCTGGGTGCTGGCTGAGCTGCTGAGCCTGGGGTAGAGCACCCTGAGTACCCACCAGCTGAGGGCTCGTGCTGTGACCAGGTGGGGAGAATCCAGAGGCTGGTAGCTCTGGATTTGTCCTGTTTTGTAAAACAGCAGATCTTTCATAATGTCGCAAAAGTGGGCTCATGTTCTAAAACTATAGAAAATGGAAAACTGGCGTTTTTGTTTCTGGTTATGTAGTAACTAGAGGCCCGGTGCACAAAATTCATGCACAGGTAGGGTCCCTAGGCCTGGCCAGCGATCAGGGCTGATTGGGGCCTTCCGGCTGCCAGCCGGGGCCTTCCTTCATTCTGCGCCGCCCTCTGGTGGTCAGTGCATGTCATAGCTAGCAGTCGAACTCCCGCCGGGACACTTTACATATTAGCCTTTTATGTATATAAGATTATCTTTAACCCTTTGCGGTCCAATGTTATTTTTGGAATTCAAATAGTCTGGTCCAAATTAATTGATGGGATTGAATGTTGAACTTTTTAATGTTCTTATTGCTCAACGTTGGACCTGCTCCTAGCGCCTGGTCTGTCGAGTCAGCCTCGAGGTTGGACCGAAAAGGGTTAAAGCATCTTATAGGCACGTGACTCCTCTGGAAGGAAATTGTCAGTTGTCTCCGAGCCCCTGGGGGCTCCGTGTTGGTTGTAACCCTCTGAGTTGGCTGAAGGCACCTGGTTTCTCCTGTCAGCCTGAGGAGATCCACGGGATCTTAGGTGCATGGAGCGATGTTATGAAATAAAAATGCCCAAGAACCCAGGGATGTGTGTCTGTGTGCCTGTGGGGAAGTGGGGTTATAGTAGAACTTAGGAGGGTGAGGTGTGGACGTACAAAAAAAAATGCTTTCTTTGTGGAATTACGTGGTGAGCATTGTGCCTGCGATTCAACTAGTTTCCCCACATGCATTCTGGGAAAGAGGGGCAGGCGCCCTTGGGGACAGAAAGGTAAAGAGAGGTAGGGAGATATGCCAATAATACTCAAAATTTCTTAAGAATAACAGAAAGTAGGGATTAAAATCCAGGTGTTCTTATGAATGTTCTGTTGGCCTACCATGGATTTGCAGACTTGTAAGTTTGGGTTCATTGACAGATGCTCGGGGCATAAGTCGGGAGGGAGTAAGGCTGAATGGCGAGAGTAGTGGCATTAATAGTAACAATTTAAAACCTTGATTTTAGAATATTTTTCAGCTCCTACAAGATGTATTTTAAATGCATTCTTTCCTCCTTTCAGAGTCTGTGAGAGCTCTCTGCTCTAGGGCGGAACTAGGCATTGCAGCACAATAATGACTAAGACAGATATTCCACCTTCTTGGATTTACAATGTTTGTTCATAAACTATTCATTACTCTTGTACCATATAAAAACGCCCTTCTCTCTTTGCCCTTTACTATGTAACACCAATTTTTACCTACCCTGTGTGAAAACTTAAGGAATATGGGTGACTGTGTGTGTGTGTGTGATCATATTTACAGCATTTTAAAAAATTTTAATGGAATAATAAACATGATTTTTATAAGGGAGTGTTTGCGAGACATGCTCTCCATTTCTTGGTGCACATTGGCAAGGTTCCAGTGGTGAGGAAGAAAATCTGAAAGCAGCTTACTTCTGTTAAACTTCCATGTCTAAGATCAGGCGGTTCCTTGAATCTTAGTCTAGGTTAAATGACATTTTTGGCATATGTTTGCCATAAAGAAAGGGATCTAATCAACCATGAGGGTGTTTTATGAAGTTAAATATCGTTTTTGTCATTTTGTATATTAAATCATCACATTGTACACCTTAAAACACACACAACCTAAAAAAAAAAAAAAAAAGGAAACACAGTTTTGCTCTGTTCTGAGGGTACAAGGTAAGTCCTGAGGGCCGGCCAGAGTCCGTCTTCAGTCTTTCCGTGCCCCCGACACTTGCTGAATACCCGGCCGCCCTGGGCTTGCGTCTTCATTCTAAATGTCTGTGTTTAATTCCTTGTAAGTTGAATGGCATTTTCACTGGCTTTTGCTGTGCCCTCAGCTCCTTCCAGACCAGCTGGTCTTGCTTCTGGAGCATCTGTTGGAGCAGAAGACCCTGAACCCCAGAACTCTGCGAAGCCTCGAAAGGACATACCGCCTCTCCCAGCAGGATGCAGAGGTAACCAGGACTGCCCTCAGCGTAAACAGCGGGGCCCTCTTTTGTGAGCAGGGTGGCCCCGGAGCTTCCCAGTCTGGCGGACTTCTCTTTATTTGCTATCAGTATCCCCCCCCCCCCCGCACCCCCCGAACTTCCCCCGCACCCCCCCCCCACCAGCTGTGTGCCTGTGAGTGAAGAACAAGGCCTTGGGGCCAAGTGGAAGCTGCTCCCTGGTCGGGCTCCCTCCAGCAGGGGCCCCAGAACCTGCTTATTACCGGGTCTCCCCTCTTTTTAAATCATAAGGATGGACACAAGTCCCCAAAGGAGTGTGAGCAGGCAGGGTGGGGCGCTCCTGAGTACAGACTGGGGCGGGTCAGCTTTGCAGGCTGGTGGCGCCGTCCTGCTGCTGTGGGGAAACGCCCTGGCCTCGGGGTGCCAGAGCTGCACGTTGCCTTCAGCCAGGACAGGGAGGGAGCCATGTGTAACGGAAATGAAAACGAAATCTAACAGCTGTGGGTTGAAAAGCAAAATGGGATGCTTGTGGGAAAGCAATATGATGTGGTTCTTAATATCTTTTAGCTTAATGTAAAGAATGCACTGTGAATCCGAAGATGAGTGCCAAGGGTTTTATGTCTATAAAATAATTATTTATCACATTTAGTCGTCTTAAGTAAAATACAAGTACATGGCCAAAAAGAGAGAAGTTCTTTTATGTAAAACTCCTAAAATGCAAGTAAGTTTGGTTTGTGTTCAGGTGAAAATAGCTGAGCATCTAAAAACTGCAGTTTTACGGGGTACCCATCAGGCACACGTGGCTGTTGAGCCCGTGGCTGTGGGTGTGAAAGGCACAGTGGATACTGAAGATGGAGTGTGAAAAAAGAAAAATACCCTACTAATAATTTCTTCTTATTGGTTAAACTGTCAAAATGATATTTTGGATAAAATAAAATGCTATTAAAATTAATTTCACAATCATTAAAATGGGGTAAATGGAGAAAAGATACCTTATTAGATTAAAAGGTAAGATGGACATTGTTTTACCTTTTTTGTAATCTTCACCTGAGGGCCTGTTTTCATTGATTTTTTTCGAGAGGGAGGCAGGAGGGGAGGAGAGAGAGAGGGAGAGAAATATCAATCTGTTGCCTCCTGTTCACACCCCAATCAGGGCTTGAACCCGAAACCTAGACATGTGCCCTGACTGGGAATCGAACCCACAGCCTTTTGGTGTATGGGATGACGCTCGAACCAGCTGAGTCACCTGGCCAGGGCCATTGTTTTACATTTTAAAGCTCCACAAATTCAGGAGTTAATTGAAAACCTTCAGAGAAGACACATGTAGCTTCAGAAGACACAGATCAGATGTGCTGTTTACTTCAGCTCTTACATGTTTGTTCCTAGGTGTTTCCACGTGCCAGCCCGTTATTTTTAATTAGTGTTTAAAGATGTTTCTATATACAGACATGAGGCTAAGTTTTAATCAGAGCTGAATACCGCTGAAATGCCAGGCCCCAGTGACGGGCAGTGGACAGACGAAGGCGGGAGGATCAAAGCAGGCCCCGGGCACCTGTCACAGCCCGGAAGCCATGAGGTGGTAGACACTGTTGGCTCCCCTTCCTTTTGGCATAGAACACATCGTGTTCTTAACTTACAGCTCACTTAGTTGTTTATAACCTCCCAAACCTTTAGAAAGCATAATAGGTTTTCTTTGGTTGCTTGTTTTACAACTCACAGACTACACCATGATGCCTAAGCCAGGGCGGCCTGGACCCTGGGGGCAGGAGACCAGGGCCTGGGGATGGCTTTGCTTGGTGTGCATAGCTAGGGTGGCGTCATGCAGTTCACCAGTGCTGCGCCAGGCACTAGGGACATAGCAGTGGGCACCACCGCCGAGGGTCACCCTGAGGAGGTGTATGTTCTTCTGGAAAGACAGTGCATAAGTAAATGAACACAACGCTTTCAGGTACGAGTTACAGTGGAGGCATACAGGTGACGCTGGGCAGGTTGTCTGTAGATAGAGTACTCAGGAAAGGCCACGCAGACAAGTGGCATTCGGGCCAGGACCCAAGGGGCAGGGGTAACTTCCATACAGAGGCAGCAGCAAGTGCCACGTGTGAGCTGGCATGTGCTAGGATGGGGGTCAGCAGGCTTTGTCTGTAAAGGAACAGATAGTTAATATTTCAGGCCACATGGTTTCTGTCCCCCCGTTCACCTGTGCTGTGGTAGCATGGAAGCTGCCAGAGAGAGACACGCAGACAGACAGCCGTGCCTGTGCGTCAGGAAAACGTTATGGACCCTGCAACTTGGATTTCATGTAATTACCACGTCTCAAGATAATTCGTTTTGTTTTTGTCATTCCTTCTTTGAACTGTTTTAAAACATATACAACACTCCTAGCCGGGGGCCGGGGGGTTGATTGGGTCTGCCCCATCTGGAGTTTGTTGACCCCCTGCGTTGGGGTGGGCAGGGGCCAGACCAAGGGGGCCTGGAGGCCTGTGCCCTTTGGGCTTTCATTGTCACAGTGTGCCTCCTTCCCCAGCTCTCTCGTCCTGGCACGTGTGTAGTTAGTTGCACTGACAGTCCATCTCACCGGCGTTTCCTTGAAATGTCACTCAGAAGCAGAAATGCAACCGGATGTTGGGCAAACAGTTTTCTAGGAACATTATTGGTTACGTGTGACTTATTGTGACACTGATTAGCAAGAATTTAGTAGAATAACATCTGCCTTTATTCTAAGTGACAGAACATTTCATAGAAGAAAGGATGACTTTTTGGTGGGAAATGTCTTGAGGATTCTGACTTTATTCTCGGTGCTTCTCCTGGGCCTGAACAAGTAAGGACAGTCTCAGTCATTGTCAGGGCTCTCATGTGTAGTAAACAGCAAGCCTTTGAGAGCTGGCGGAGACCCTGGAGTGCGGCCGGCTGTGGGGCGCCCTGGGGGAAGTGCTCGCGCCCCAGGGACCTTAGCGCTGGATTGGGGGTCTGTGTGAAACCCAGCACAGCAGGGAGTGCGCATGACGGGCGCATGTGTTCCCCGTATTTCCTGGGGGCACAGGAAGGCCCCCTCACTCCCCTTCGGACTGGCGTTTTTCCTGAGCACATCCCCGTGGGAAGTCACTCTCCGAGGGGTGAGCCTCTTATTTCACGTGTCCTTGACGCTGAGTCTCACTGCTCATTCCTGATCGACCCATCGCTGCAGAGCTCCTGTTGGCAGGCGGACGCTCTCCACACGTCGCCCAGCCTCGCTCGCGTGAGTGAGGAGCCTGTCCTAGCACAGACCAGGGCCCTCCATTCAGTAGCTGCTTCAGCTGCTTCTCTTGTCTACCTCCCCCCCCCCCCTTCCCTCCTCCTTCTTCCTTCTCTTTGTGTGTGGATGCGTGCAAGCCCACTGGGAAGTTTATTTTTAATATTCTCTTTATGTGGCTCAATATTTGTGTTACTTGTGCTGCTCTGCTCTGTGCTTGGTTGTGTTCACAGGATGTCTGGTCTGGTACCAGAGTTTCTGAGCACGATGCCTGGTCTGTGTTGCCCGCCAGCTTTTTTCACGTCTGAGGTGGTAGGTTACAGGGCCTGTCCTCCTTGGGATGTGAGTCCCCAGGTCTGCTCTGGGGAAAGGGATACCACGTGTTTGGAGTCTTAAAGGAAAAGTGCACAAGGACGAACAGAGTAAAGCATCCATCCTAAGCCACCCCAGCCTTGTGGCCACTCCGCCTCTGGAAAGCGGGGCTCTCTGCTGGGAATGTTTGGGTTCCTGGACCTGGAGAGGAACACTAGCTTTGGGTCAGCCACCTCTCCCATCCTGAGTTCGACACGACCAGCCAGATGCCGGCTCTAACCAGGACGGAAAATGAGCTGAAGGGAAGCTTAGTTCATAGAAATATGTGTCTTCCGTTTTTTAGCATATTGGCTCAACTAGAGCCATAAAAGTCTAAAAATATATTGGACATGGATTCTTGGAACAAAAGACATTTTCTAAGATCCCATTTTAAGTCATGAATTTCTGCATCTGTAGCAGGTCTCCTAGGCTGTAAAAGAGCTGCCCCCTGGTAGTGAGCGAAGATCCATGGAATGTGACTCCGTGACCTTCTTTCCCTGAGCGCATGGCTGACCTTGAATCAACTTTACTTGTACAGGCTGCAGTTGGGCACTTCAAAATTGGGGACTCACCTCAAGTTAATCATTTGAAAGTTCAGAAACCGAACTCGTCACCCTAACTGTCTTGGAGTCAGTGGAGGACATTGCTCAGGAAGGCCCCACGGCAGCATGCCCCGCTCTGATGTTGCGACGGGTGGATTGTCCTCTCACTGTGTTTGGGAAACACTGCTGGTTGGAAGGAAGAAGCTGCCTAGGTCAGGTTGGAATGCAGAGTGAGGGGACCGTGTTCCTGTCGGGGGCCCCGTGGTTGGCCCCGGGTGAGGAGAAGACGGATACCTGCTCAAGTGCATGTGAGCAACTCTTCCATGTTTAATCTCCTGGAACGCCCAGGCATTGACTTCACAACAAATGGACTTGGGGCCCAGATCCCAACACGTTGCCCTCCCTCCCGGCCCGTTTTCCTCGTCTGCACAGCAGTGCCTAGACAAGGCTGCGGGCTCCTGGCTTCTTGACTGCAGCCAGTGGCAAAGGATGTTTCATGACACTGTCTTTACTCTTATATTTTCTATTATTTCCTGTTTCGTTTACTTTAAAAAAAAAAAAAAGTGCATTGTGATGCAGTAAATTGATTTTAAAATGCCATAACCCCTTCACAGGATTGTCGTGAGAAAAGTTGGTGAACATTCAAGGTCATGTGACTTCTGTTGATGAGAGATTCACCATCTCTCAATTGGTGTAAAATGGTCAGATTTTATTATTTAGCTGTTCTTTTCCTTTTAATCTATCAGGACTGGCAGGGAGAAAAAGTAGTAATCTACCCAGCTGTTCAGAGCTCCTAGGCCTCTGATAAACTTTAACGGGTAAAGAATGATCGATCTAGGGGCTTGGTAGGTTTGGGGTGTGCGGGGGGAGGGGGACCTTGCTCTGAC